GACTCATTCATAGATAGAGCACAGCCTCCTAATCAATGAGCTATGCAGTTGTCTCAGTCCTGTTAATTAACCCTAAGCCGTGACATAGGGCTCCTTATGTGGCCTTGACAATGCACACCAAAAGCATTAACAGGGACACCATCCATGCGCAACATGGCACTGTTAATACTCTGATATTTTGCAGCTGTTGATGGAATCAGCCTCTCTGAGAGCTACCACAGAGTTCGGGAAACCTTACTACCAGCCGGCCTCAGAACCATTAAACTGAGTTTTAGAGCTGTACCCTCATATGGAGATAACAGGAAGAGTTGCATAGCCATTATCAAGGAGGCATAAGCAAAATTCTATGAGTAAAGTCAAGGAGATCCAGCATTCATCATCCTAAGCAGGAAACAATGTAACACAGGTTACATCTACGCCAGCCTAATAGATGAAGAAGGGGTTCGAGGCTGGTTAGCAGAATTTTTCTGCTTACCCCTAAAGTAAGTAAAAACTACATAAATTAACATATCTTTAAATCAACCATGTGTTTGTATTGTTTTCTTGAAGAATTAAATTTAAAAATATATTGGAGTATTTTCAGTTTGTCTACTTGAGTCAAGTAGATATGATTAAAATGATAAAGTTTCTATGGTGTGGTTATTTAGATTAAATAGCTTAATTGTTGAGTAAACTTGATTGCTAAAGAAACTAGATTAAGTTCTTAATTCTACTTGATTATCAACTGCTTTTAATGCAAAAAAATTCATTTGGATTTGAGAAAAGGGAACAACATTTTCAGAGTTTTTCTTCTTTAACTCTAAAAATAAAATATAATAATATCAGTAGTTTTTATTAAGGAATTACTATAGTTAAAAAGGCTGAAAGGAAAAAATACGATGATTTATTTCAAGAATGTTAGGGATTTAGTTCAAAATGTCATTTTAAGATTTTTAATCTTTAATATTATTCTGGTGTTATTACCAAAAATATTTAAACCTCAAAAAAAATTTCCTTGATCCGTCATGAAATTTTTTTTGAGGTTTAAATATTTTTGTATTTTTGTATCATATTGCATATATATATATATATATATATATATATATATATATATATATATATATATATATATATATATATATATATATATATATATATATATATATATATATATACAGTGGTCAAAGTGAGGTGGGATGCCATCCCATCACATATATATATATATATATATATATATATATATATATATATATATATATATATGTGTGTGTGTGTGTGTATATATATATATATATATATTATATATATATATATATATATATATATATATATATATATATATATATATATGTATATATATATATATATGTATATATATATATATATATGTATATATATATATATATATATGTATATAAATATTATATATATATATATATATATATATATATATATATATATATATATATATATATATATATATATATATATATATATATATGTATATATATATATGCAATATGATACAAAAATACAAAAATATTTAAACCTCAAAAAAAATTTCCTTGATCCGTCACTGATATATATATATATATATATATATATATATATATATATATATATATATATATATATATATATATATATATATATATATATATATATATATATGTATATATATATATATATATATATATATATATATATATATATATATATATATATATATATATATATATATATATATATATATATGTATATATATATATGCAATATGATACAAAAATACAAAAATATTTAAACCCACACACATATATATATATATATATATTAAAATATATATATATATATATATATATATATATATATATATATATATATATATATATACACATATATATATTTAATATACTTTTTATTTGTGCATATTATGAAATTATATATATATTTTTAAAACATATATTTGTAATTTAAAAACTTATTACTATTATTATTATTATAACTATTATATTATTATTATACTATAATACTATTATTGCTGTTCAGATTGTCTGTTGTAAATATATAGTTTATTCTCTTAGTTTGTGCATCGACTGCTCACTAATCATAAAAAGAGTCGATTGTCGATGCAATAACTACTGATTCGTTAAAGCTGGCAACTTTTACTTGTGTTAAAGTACCTTAAATCCAACAGATATCATCATTACAATATTAATTTGTTTGTAAATTGTTTTAGATAATAAATTTAAAAATAACTTTTAAATAAATTTTTTTTTTTTCTTATTTTTTCAACTAACAGGTTCTTTTAAACAATTTAATAATAGTCCCTATGGACTTGGAATATTTTCTGAAAAAAAAACGTCTTTTAAACGTTCAAAAGACGTTTTTTTATGGTTTAATTTGGGTTTTTTAAGAACGTTTTTTAAACTTTTTTTAAAGAAAGTTTTTTAAACAACTTTTTTAGAACGTTTTTTAAACGCTTTTTTTAAAACGTTTTTTAGGTATTGCCATTTCGAACGTTTAAAAAACGTTTTATTTATTAGTTAAAAAAAAACGTTTTAAAAACGTTCATGTGCTTACTGGGTAGTAAGACGTTCAACACTTTTGATCATAGTATTTTAATTAAAAAACTAGAAAACTGCGAAATCAAAAGTATAAACGTATCTTGGTTTAAAGGCTACTTATCTAATAGAAAATAATATATATTATACGGCAATAAAAAAACTAACAATATGACAATTACTTGCGTCGTTTCTCAAGAATTTATACTAGGACCACTTTTATTTTTAATCTATATTAATGATTTAAGCAAAGCTTCTAATATTTTATATTCTATATTATTTGCTGATGACACCAATTTATTTTATTCTCATAGCGATTTAACATTATTTAAAACAGTCAACACTGAATTTCTAAAACTAATTTTATTGAAATTAGTTTTAAAAATTCATTAATTAATTGAAAGAAATTCATAATTAATTGAAAGTTTATTCATATTTAACCGAATGGTTAAATATGAATAAACTTTCAATTAATTTAACAAAAACTAAGTATACTATTTTTCATCGCTTCCTTAAAAAAAATTAAATTCCTCTTGCACTTCCAAAACTTATTATTCGAGAATACATCGTAAAAAGAGAATGTTCAATGAAATTTCTCGGTACAATTCTAGATGAAAACATAAATTGGAAAAATCACCCAAACATGATTGAAAATAAAATATTGGATTACTCTATAAAGAAAAATTTTTTTGATCTTTGATCTATAATTTTTGAAAAACATAAATTACTTATTTATTCATTTCTATCTTAATTCTGCAAACATTGCTTGGTCAGCATCAATAAAACAAAGACAAAAAAGCAATTTAGCAAACAAAAACATGCAATTAAATTATTATCAAATGTACGCCGCCTCTCACATTTAAGACCATTGTTTAATAACTTAGAAATATTAAATTTTTACCAAATAAAAATATATCATCTTCAAATTTTTATGTATAAAACTAATAATAATAGAATACAAATAACTTAAAATCATTATTTAATAAAATTCAATGCAAATACATGACTAAATATTCAAGTAACTACTTCATTCAACCCATTTATTTGTTTGGAAAGGTATAAAGTCTTTAATTATACACATTAAAGTCAATTATATTTTAAAAAAGTAATTATAAAGATTTACAGCATTTATTGATTTTAATCATCAGATTTCAATAACGATAATTTAAATATATATTTTTTTTAATATGACTGTGTTATTCTGTTTTATGAGATTTTTATTAGTGGTTTGATTGCTTCAAATTGTATTTAATTTTCGATTTGATTTTTTTGATTAAATTGTACTTAATTTTCAATTTGACCTGTATTTTTTTTAAATATTTATTTCAGCCAATTATGTTGTAGAAATCTCAGCAACAATAGCTGCTGCACCACTTGATACTGATGTTGCAATGATGCTGCACCACTCTGATACTGGTGAGAGAGTAAAAAAAAAGTAATCTTCTTTGAATTCGAATTTTTCTTATTTTTGATATTAATTTTTTTTAATTCTTTTTGTTGATTAAACATCATGTGTGTGTGTGTTTGTGTGTGTGTACATGCGTGTGTGTGTGTATGTTTGTGTATTAATATGTATTTATGTATGTGTGTGTATATATGTATATATATATATATATATATATATATATATATATATATATATATATATATATATATATATATATATATATATATATATTATATATATATATATATATATATATATATATATATTGTTGTTGTTGTTGTTGCTGGTTTTTGTTTTCTTGAATGATTTTTTAAAATTTTATTTGAATGAATAACTTTGAAATATGATCATATACAGCATTGCATGACCGTAAGGTAACCTTCATGTTATTGTGAATAAATTACTTCCTTAACTTTTATTAAAAATAACTTTGAAAGACACTTTTAAACTGTTTTGTATTTTATATAAATTCTTTGAAACGTTTTGCAAAAAGAAAGAGTTGAAAATTGTTAAGATTAGACTTTTTATTGTAAATAATAGCTTATCAACTAATTAATAAAATTGTGTATGGGTTTAGAGTTACATCCCTTCCCTACTCTATAATTTTACGCTGTTGTAGAGTTTTTAATTAATTGGTAAAATTTCGCTGAAATTTTAAACCGTTTAAACTTTCCACGCAGTGTAATTATAACGTTAAAGTGAGGCTGTAGAGGTTTGAGGTTATAATTGTACAGCGGACATTATTAATGTTATCAAGAAACATAGTTCACTTTTATCGACAAAATTCAACCTTTAGAATACTTTTTTTAGCACCATTTATTTAGATGTTTTATAATAAACAAGAATATGTTTCATTTAGTTGTAAGGAATAGCTCACATTAAATTATAAAAATTAGTAGCCATGATGCCATTTTGAGATATATTTTAAATAGTATTATAGCTATATTTTAACGATATTGTTAATAAATAAAAATATTTTATGAATGAAATTTAAAAAAGGAAAACATATTCACCCAATTTTGAAATCCCGATGTGTTGTCAGATTCAAGTATCAAATGCCTTTGAAATAGAAAGTGTTCTTACGTTTTCATCATTGCTTTTTTGAAAACTCTTTGTATGTTTTTTTATAAAATATTCGAATCTTTTATTTTCTGAATAAGAATTCTTTTCAAAACTCTTTTTTTCCTTTCTCTCTTTTTCAATATTTGATATTTTAAATTTTGTTAAATTTTCCTTTATATGTTCTTCTTTAACTTGTTTTTTTGTTTGACATCTTGTTGTTTTTGTAGACAAACTCTCTTCACCATTGCTTTTTATTTCTACTTTCACATCTTTTTTTTTTTCGCTATTATATTTTACATTATATTTATTTGTTTCGATATTTTTTTTATTATTATCTGATGTCATAGTACTTTCGTCGTATGTCACATCTGCCTTTTTAAAAAATGATTTACCAAGATGTTTATTTTCCTCATGCGTAGAAACACACTCTACTTTGTTAAGAGTCAAATGAACACTCTGTGTAATATTTTCAATCGATTGCATCTGCTGCTTTGAAAAATTTTTTTTGTAACTTTTGTTACTACGAGTGAAGCTGCCGTGATGTTCACTTTCTTCTTCGCAAGTGCTTAACGAAACTAAAAATAGATTTTCTTCTATCAGTTTTTAGATTTATAGTTTTTAAATTAGACTTAGTAATTGCTTCTTTTTCTAAATTAAATTTAATATAAAAACGATGAAATTTTGTGAACCTTAATGAAAAACGATATTTAAATGAAAAACGATAAAATGAAGATGCATCCAAGAAATTTTCTAATGTATACGAGAAACCTGCGTCTATTTGAGAATCTTAGGTTGTTTTTTTTTTTTTTTGTTTTGTTTTGTTTTGTTGTTTAATATCAATTACATAAATAAAAATTTAGTTTTACAAAAATGGACAAAAAAAATACACTAAACTTAAAATTTTTACTATTTGAGTTCTTTGTAATTGGACGCCTAATTTTAGTTTATATAATTGTGTAGGGGAGAATGAGATACTGGCGAACATCTAGACGGTAACGTAAATTATACACAACCGTTTTGATTTGCGTTACCGTATAGGTGTATAAAACTTGTCAAATTTATAGCTTACTATTTACTTTAATTAATCATTCGCAAACTTTCAAAAGCTATTTTTATAAATATTATTATAAAATAAAATTTAGGGTAAAAAAGACTAAAAAAGTATCTTTGGTATTCGGAATTATCCTGCGCTTGAAGTAACTTAGAACACTCTTTGGTGAAATAACACTGTTGAGCATTAACAAATAATGTTTTTTGATCATGATCTTTTCATTGCAAATAAGGGGTCGTCCATAAAACACGTACGCTTTTATTTTGATCCTATCCCCCATCCCTACCCCACATTTTGCTATACGATTTTTTGAGTACCCTACACCTCCCTAAATGTACCTACATTGTTAACCTACCTATCATAGATTTAATGATATTTTTTAAAGTAAGTGTCTCCTTAATTTTAAAATTGGCTACTTGCCCTCCCCCCCCTATCTTATAAACGCCATTTGAAGACCCCCTCTCCCCCATCCGAGCGTACGTACTTTATGGACGATCCCTAATAAAGTATACTTATTTTCTTTATCACTTCAGCTTCTCTTTTTTTTCTTTGGTGCATAATCAACTTTAAATAAGTTAAAATTATTTAATCCCTTTTTAGTTAACTTTCTTTTACTTAACTATTTTACTTTATTGTTTTTTTACTCTATTCCCAAAAAAAACTTTTGTTAAAAAAAATTTATTATTGGCTTTCATTAGGGGCGAATTTCATAACAGTGAATCTGCATAAATGTAAACTTTTTTAAGTACAAAATGACGTTCCAACTGACGTAAGTGCGAACTTGTGTATGTGCCATAAGTGCAAAGCATTTGCAAAACTGGCACAAGTACGTTGATAAGAACATCCAAACATCGGCAAAAAATAAGGATCCTTATGCCAGTTCACATTTATAACAAATCTTTTGGCGCACTAATTCTTTTAGCGCACATACAAAAATTCGCAAATGTCAATTTATGATTTGTATTTATCAAGATTTTTAATTCGCACTTTTATTAATTTTTTCAAATTCTTTCGGCGCACTTAAGGCATACAATATCGTACTTATTTCAGTTTTTGCAACTGCTTCGCACTTATGAAATTTCGTACTTATGCCGATACGCTTTCATGCCAATGTTTTCATCGCATCGCATGTTTTTGTCGCATTTATGTAAATTCGCACTTACGCAAGTTCGCACTTATGCCACTTTTTGCAATTGTTTTATTCTCAAGATATTTCGCCGTTATTAAATGAACACTTATTCAGCATTCCGTTTTACTGCTATCAAATTTTTAAAAAGTCCGGTAGTCTACGGTTGCAACCGGTTGGTTGGTTTCGTACTTCAGTTAAATTAATTAAGCCAGTAAATAAACAAAATAAATAAATAAAATAAGGCACTAAATGTACAAACAACTTTGTACATTCTATATTATATATAGAATGTACAACGTAGTGCTTCTGTTTATTTATTTACTCTGTTTATTTAGTAATTATGTTAAATTAATTAATTAAAAATAATTAATTAATTTAACTTAATTACTAAAAGAACTAACCTTAGACAATCCAACATTTTTATATATATACATATATATATATATATATATATATATATATATATATATATATATATATATATATATATATATATATATATATATATATATATATATATATATATATATATATATATATATATATATATATACACACACACAATACATGAAATAATCATTCACGCCAATGTATCCATGCGACGACATTTTACTTACCAGCGGTAACAGAACTATCGGAATCATTTGCCATTTTTGTTTCTTTACTGTAACTTCTTAACAATGTAGGCGTACTTTCACTATCTTCAGTTACTTTTTTGAGCTCCTCCTGAAACTTTATCAGTTTTTCTCGTTTTTTTGACATCAGCCGCTGTTTTTCATTTTCTTCAAGTTCCGATGGTAATCGAGATCGGTTCGTTTCCCCAAATTTTTCAGCATCTGGCGTCAAATCTTCTGACAGTGACGAAATTGTTTCTGTTCTTACATTTCTTTTTCTAGTAATGCTATCAATGCGTGTCCATGGATCTTTTTCTATTAAATTAAATATGATATATTTAATTTAGTTTTTTTAGATAAACTACGGAAGCAAAACATGTTATTTTATAAAACCTGTTATTTAATACATAAATAAAACTTTCAGTTAATAAATATCAAAATAATTGTTAGTTTACTTTTTTTTATACATAATATATCAAAAAAAAAACTTTGTATAAAATAAGAGCTCTTACCTTCTGGATTTATATATCCCTTTTTCGTGCAACATTTTCGAAATAAAGATACCACTCCAATGCGGTAGGGTTTGCATAAAGTAGCATAGGCAATTGGATTTAACATAGAGTTTAACACTGCCACTCTCATTGCAAACAAATCTAACTTTTCTAATTGATTCTTTGCGCCCAGAAGAACAGAAAGGACGACAATCTATTTATAAACTTTGCTGCATTTATAAACAAAAGCAATACAAATGATAGTTGTAGTTATATTTTTAAAATAAAGAAAACAAATAGGTAATAAAACAGCAACAAATTATGAAATAAATCTTACAAGAAATGGAAGCCATGTAAACGAAAATATGACCATTAGAACAACAGTTAAATACGAAAACATTTTTTCTGTTTTTAAGTTCCATTTAGCTTTTCTTTTAATTTTATTTGCCATTTTTCGATGACGTTGTATTAGGTTTCTTATTTTATAAAAGACAATGACATATGAGATTAATACCACAATATTCATACTGAAGCCATAAACCACTATAAAAAGGGAGTACGCAATTGTACCACTAGAGTGATTGGAGTAGTCAAAGTGGCAATAAGCACCTTTAAAATATGAAACCATTCTACCGAGCCCGAGTAGTGGTAGAGCTGAATGCAATCCAGTAAAAGCAAATGCAGTTAACACAGATAAGATAACATTTTTCTCGGTTACATAGTTTCTATGTGTAAAAGGTTTGACAATAGCTAAATACCTCTCAAACGCCATAAAAGTTAAAATAAGCATTGATCCAGAGTTTGTGGTAAATGCAATCCAGCCGTAAAAATTACACAAGTCACTATCTGAAATAAATATTTAAATTATTTGTCTAAAAATAATATACACAAATAATTACTAGTTAAAACCAGTAAGGGATTGTCTATAAATTATGCAACGCAAAATATATTTAAAAAACAGAAGTAGGAGATATTAAGCTCTTTTACGCGACGATTTTCATAAAACTTAATTGACAATTTTCCTTGTTTGTTTAAATTAAGACTCTGCGAGGGAAAACTGTAGATCTTTTTTGTTTTGTTTATTGTGAAAGTTTGCATTACGTAATTTATGGACGATCCCTAATATAAAATAATTTTTTGTATAATCAGTTAATTTAATTATAGTATATAATTACATAATTATTATATACTGTTATTCATTAAATTCTTTTTTTTTTTAAAACAATTAAACGTTTATCGTAATTAAACGCATAAGTCCGAGGTAAAGTTTCAGGGTAAAAGAAGCCCGAGCTAAAGTCCCAGGGTGAAAAAACCCAAAATAGACATACTCTAATCACCTCAGCAAACTAGTTTTTTTATAGATTAGAATCTTTATTATTTAAAATTAAAATTTTTTTTTTTTGAATTTAAGTCATAAAAATTCAAGATTGTATATTGGAAATTATTAGCAAATATATTAATAAGACAGGGTAAATAAAAAAAGGTTTGGAAAAAAAAGATATAAAATTATTGGAATTAATTTTAATTAATAATAATTACTAGCAGTAAGCAACCCGTAATACGCGTTGTTAGTAAAAAAAAATCGCGTATAGAAAAGCCTAGAAACTACTTTAAAATAGAAAAGTCTAGAAAATGACGTAACTCGACTAATAATAATAATATTAAATTAGCGTATTCATATTATCAGAAGACGGAAGTTTAAATGCATTAAAAAACTTCGGAACTAAATTCCTTGCCTTTCGTTTTAAAAACCAACAAACAAAAAACCTATCTTAAACTCGTACTTAAAAAAATATATAAAATTTAAAGCGTATACATGTTAGATGTTTGACTTTGAAATAAAGATGCGTTGACATAAAATTTTAACTCATTTAAATTAATTTAAATATTAACAAAATCAAAGTTTAAAACGTCAAAAAGAGCCACAAAAATCCAATTTTTTATAAACTTTAAATTTACTAGAATAGATCACTGTTACGAATGGAGTATTACTGACACAAATTGAGTATGGATTGTACAAATAAAGTCTTGTACAAATGGAGTATCACTAGTACGAATTATTTTTTTAAGTTTGCCTAATTTTTAAAATTAGAAAAAAAATAATTGTTTTCAGTCAAAAGTTGTTTTATGATTCAAAACCAGGAAAGCAGGTTTGACTAAGATATAAACTGCAGAAAAACAACTAGCACTTAAAATTAAAAAAGTCACTTTTTAGAACAAATTATTTTAAATGCGTAGACACTCCATGAAATTTTAAAAGCAAACATCTGCCATCTTTTTTATTGACATGGCAACAGCTTGATTTTTGCTTTTACTGCAGATAGGAAACATGTCCAGAGCTTATTCTTCTTTTGCTGTAAACAATAGTTCTAAAGTACTATTTACCGTTGAAGCATTGTACAGTGGGACAAAATAATGCGTACATAAAAAAACAAAACTTCAAATAAAGATAAAACTTTGAACTTTTTTAGCGACAACTTTGCTATTCAAAACAAAAACTGCACCTATGGTAGACTTATAATGACTCTTAGTTAAACTAAAAAGTTTGACAAAATAACTTTCATGATTCCTGTTAGTAGACATTCATTTGTGCCTAATGACCATGGTTTTAACTAACAACAGAGAGATATAATTAAGCTGATGAAGTTAATGATTTAATTAAGAGTTCCTTAAAAATTCCTGGGAAGTTTACTTAGAAGAAAATATTATTTAAAGATTTCATTGACTATGTGGCATAAGTTTTAAATAAGTTTTAAGCAAGTTTTACTAGATAACATGTTTAAGCAACCATTTAAAATAGGAAAAAATGCAGCAAAAAATTGGCAAAATAAAGTCTACTATCTCAAAATAATGTAAGAAGTCACTTTTTTCTGATGAACCAGAGTAAATTAAATGCAGAATGCGTACTGCTAGATTAATAAGCGACATTTTTCGCTTACGGGGGAACTTATAGACAGTCAACTTAATCAGTAGCTTTAACAGCTGTATCACCCATTAACTACCTAAATATTGTGGATATAAAAATAACTTTTGTTTATATTCTAGAAGAAAGGCTTTGATTTTGGAATAAAATAACGTCATGACCCCTCAACTTTTGTTTCCATTCAAGAAGATCAATCAACTGAATAAATGAAGTTCATGGGTTGTACAGTGCATCATATGTGCATCATGGGTAGTACAGTGCATCATATGTGCATCATGAGTAGAACTGTGCATCATATTATGATATTAAAACAAAAAAGTAGCATTGTTTCAAAAGTGTTGCACAAATAATGCATTTTTTATTTCTACACTTATAACAAAATAAACTTTAAAAATTTTGTTTAAATATTTTAGACCTATGCTAACCGTTGAAAAACTTTTTAAAAAATAGAAAAACCTAAGTTTGAAAAAAAAAAGCGGGTCAAAACAGTTTTTTGTCTTTCCTGTAAAATCAAGAATTGTGGACTTTTTTTTTTTGTGCCTTTTTACAGTTAGCAGTTCATTTGCTTTTGAAAAAAAAAATTAATTTAAATTAATTACCTTTAACAATGATTGGGATAACCATTATATCTAATTTAAGTAAAATGTTTTATTAGTTTATTTCAAATAAAGTGGTCGATAACTTTTAATAAGTATACAACCATCCGTACAAATATTTCAAGTACAACAAATAAAGTGTATATGTTTTAACTAAAAATTATTAATGATGATGTGGTCACCTATATAATGACCACGATTGATACTCGTGCACATCTGTCACGCAAGAAACATTAAAATCATTATCAAGCAAAACTTGCTTGTTGTTTAACTTTTTTTGGAAATTTCAACGTTGAAAAATACTTTGAGTATGCGCAAAGAGCATTTAAAACTTTTAATTTGTTCTAACTTTAATATAATATGTTCAAACTATATTTACAAACATATTGTGAGAAAAAAATAAAACTTAAAAAAACTAAGAAGTTTTTTAAATTCTTGCTTCTATATATATTTTTTATAACATTGAGCTTGAAATCAACACGAATTTCAAAGTCATTCGTTTTGGCTCACGGTATTCTGAATCCTGTTAGACAAAAAATAGTTGATCAAAATATCTTGAAAGATAGCTACGTTTTTGCCCACGCCATTTTAATCGAGTATTTTATTATTTTATTTTTCAGCTAGTTTTTTGCCGGTATTTTAACAAACTTATGACATTCCGTACCCATTCTTCCGTTTGTAACCAATACTAAAGTTGTTATGCCGCCATATTTAACTTTACGCCGTTGTGCGGTTCTGATTGAACATTTATGCACGCTCTGATAAGAAATATTGAAAACAAATTTCTTATATTATCGTGGCGTCTTGAAATAAAGCCACCTTTTTTACATGAGTTACATTTAATGGTTCTCCGCATTCACAATTGTGAGGAATATCTTTTAAATCAAAGTTTTATCATAAGCACAGTGCATATATAAGCATCTCAAAATTCCTCTTAGTTTAAAACAAAACCTTGCTTTTCTATCGTTAAGACTTTTGATCATGTTTTTGCACATTCGCTTCTTGTTAGCTGTATATTTCTTAACATCAACTCCGGTTATTTTTCCTGTTCAATGCTTTAGTCTGTCGCCAATTACATTTTTATGAGATCTTCTACCACAATTCCAGTAGAGCTTTTTATTTATAAAACTGTGATAATTTTATGTACGTGGTTTTTAGTTAATTTTTTAGGTGAAATTATTAATTCATCAAATATAAAATATACCAAGTCCCATCCATCCCTGTCGGTTCCAAATAAGGTTGGGAACCAAAAATGACTAAGCATTTCATCTATGGGTGCTAAATATTGTTTAAAGTTCGGAATAGTTCTTGAAAAATATGTACATTTTGATTAAAATCTTTTTGTGAAAGATATAAAGGCGCGTCTCTGATACTTTACAACTGTGGTTGCGTCTCTGATACTTTACAAGTGTGATTGCGTCTCTGATATTTTACAGCTTTAGTTACGTCTCTAATACTTTACAACTGTGATTGAGTCTCAAAATTATAACATATTTTACAAATTTGTTATAATTTTGTTTTAATTCATTTAATATTTTTTATTTTATTATTAATTTAAGTGCTCCAAGAAGTCCTAATGGTCTTATCACAGAGCACTGTGGATGAGCATTTAATTGGAAATTCACGCCTCCTTCCTAACCGATCTCGCAAAATTTGCCCAAAGGTGAGGTTTGAACCACAGATCCTTTGTTTCTGAGACAAGTACACTACCATTCCGCCACGGCTGCTTTTTTTTGAGAACCAATTGCTGAACCCAGATATTGCTTACCTTCTGAAGCTATGTTGACTGATTTACCAAAAGCTATACTGACGTTCTCTGTTAATAATGAGGATTTTAAAATTACCAAACATTTTCACATTGTTAAAACGCAAGTTTTGATTGTTTAGCAATATAGGCACAGGCGTATAGTACTTTTCTTTGAGGGGAATTTGTTGAGGCGGAAAAGAAAAATCTGAAAGGAGAATCAGTTAATACCATGGTAACTTAAAACTACTTTTTTACACTTGTTAAAATCATTTCTGATTTATACTTCCATAATCAAATTCAATGATACATCAAATCCCAGCTAACATTCTATTGAAGAATTTCAGCGGACCTATATAGGCATTTTGAGCTGACCGCTGTAGTTTTGCTCATCGGTTGTTTAGTGACAATTAGTGCTAACCGTCAAAAGTAGCTAGCCAATGGCTAGTCACTATTAACATGTCGTAAAGTTATCGGCTTGCCATTTATAGCGGCTGCCATTAATGGTCCACTATGTAACTAATGAACAAAATTCGCTAATAAGTGTCTATATAGGTCCAATATTGTATTGATATGTCAAATATTACTTTTTTACCTCTTCTCTTTTTCTTTTTTTTTCTTTTTCTTTTTTATTTTTTTGTACAAATAAATTCTTAAGAGCAACGCAGAAGTGCATTTAGCCAGGAAGTTCACGCCTCTTTCTTTACCGTGACGCGAAAATATGTCCAGAGCTCGTTTCGAACCTGGATCTCCTGCTTATAAAGCAAGTGCTGTAACCACTGCGCCATGGCCACATTTCAGTCCGAAAATATGAAAAAATCTTTTTAGTTTTTGTGCTTTAAATGGCGGATCCACATTTTTTTTTAAATATCTTTCAAACTCAATTACTTACCTACTTTAACTAATACTTTTTCCTTTTTTTTTTAACTCACTTATTTTGGTCCGTGGTGGTGGTTTATGATGCCAATTAGTGGGTTGAATTTGTCTTTTTCGGATATTAGTATATGGCCTCAATCAGCTGGAAACGGTTAGTTTAATAAATAATAAATTCAATAATTTAATAAATTTTTTATAATCATATAAAAATTTAATATATTTCTAAATAAAATATCATTAAAAAATCTAGTAAATTCTTTAAATAAACGCTACTCTTATTTATAAACTAAATATTACTTTAATTTATAACTTTTCAATTTCAGAAACTGTTTATAAATTTATTGGAAGAGAGATCTGGAACATTGATGAAACCTATGATGTCATTGATGAGATCGATGATATCATCAATGAAATTGAGTACGTCATTAATGAAATCAAGGATGTCTTTAATGAAATCAATGATGTCATCAATGAAATCGATGATGCTATTAATGAAATAAGAAAATCTGAAAAAAAGCCTTCCTAATTTACGTAGCAAACTGGGTAAATTAGGAAGATTGTATAGCAGAGTTTCTGTGTACCTATATAGGAATTTTGAGTGGTCCACTGTAGTTTTGCTCATCGGGTATTTAGTGGACCATTAGTAGCCGTCGAAGATAGCCGATGTGACCTTTAGCCAGCCAATGACTAGCCACTATTGACATGTCGAAAAGTTATCGACTAACAATTTATAGTGGCTGCTACTAATGTTTCACTAAGTAACTGATTAGCAAAACTCTAATGAACCGCTTAAAAAAGCCTGTATTGGCTCACTGCAAATCTACTAAAACAATGTTTACTTGGGTAACGTGCAGATCAAGTTCAATTTTAAATGCTAGATTATTTGACCATTATTAAAAAAAAAGTTTGAATCATTGACAAAATCGATTAAATCATTGCTGAAATCAATACATTGATGAAAATAATTAGGTTTTGACAAAATTGATGATGTCGTCAATGAAATGGATGTCATTAAAAATATCATAAATAAAATCGGTGGCATCATAAATAAAATCGGTGACATCATTGATAAAATCGGTGACATCATTGATAAAATCGGTGACATCATTGATAAAATTGATGATATCATAGATGAAATCAATAATACTATTAATGAAATTGATGATATCGTTGATGAAGTAGATAACGTTATCAATGAAACGGAAAATATTTGTTAAATGTTATAAAATGTAATAAAAATATATATTATAAATTAACCAATTCTTTGGATATTGTCAGTGCCGGATCAAGGGGAGGGGGCTATAGCCCCGGGCTCCGCAAATTTAGGGGCCCCCAAAAATTTTACAGGACCTTTTTTTTTTTTTTTAGTCATTTTTAGGCTCTGGCCCATAAAAAGGCCTCCAAAAACAAAAATAGCTCCGGGCCCCAAGAAGTCTTAATCTGCCACTGGATATTGTACTTCGCTGAGTTTAGTTTAAATCTATTAATGCAACGATATGTGAATCAGTAAAATAAAATCAAACAAAAAAAGTTTACACCGCATAAAATTTACACTTCTCAAATATAATTTAAAGTTAACTTCCTATTCGATTAATTACCGCCGACCTTATCTGTGGAAAAAATTCCAAAATATTGTAAACAAAAACAGAACAATTTAAAAATGAATTCAATCTAACTTTTTACAAAATCTATATTTAATTTTTATTAAAGCAGAAAATCTAACGATTTATAATAATAAGTATAAAAAGAGCGTTCAAATGTTTTGACAACTGTCAAGTTTGTTTAATTTTTTATTTATTTATTTTTTTGGATTGAATTAGATTAAGTTGACCTTTTTTTAATTAAAAGATGATCTTATCTAATGATGGTGCAAACTTATAAAAAGGAAAGCATTAGTATATGGATTTTGTATTACTCAATTGGTGTAACTGACATCTATTGCATAACCATAACCTACTCATGTACTGTACATAACCATAACCTACTTATGTACTGAGCATAAAACTGCCTAAATGTGAACATATGAACAAATTATGGCCTAAAAAAGTTTCAGCCAAGTTTTCGAAATTTATTCATTTAGTTCACTTGTTTTTATTTATCAATTTGAGCTGTTTTGATTTTTGTTAGTTTTTATCAATCAATTTGAGCTATGACAAAATAAATTTTAATGGTAAACTTTTTCCTACAATGAATTGATTTGGACAAGTCTATAAAAAATTTAAATATCTTTTAAATAATTGAAAGTTCAAACAATTTATAAAAAATTGTCAAATAATTAGCTCTGTAAACTTTTTGGAAAAGACATTACGCTCCAAAAATCACTTACCCAGAATTTAAAATGACGTTCTGTGGACGTTTTGCATCCGTAGGAGATCCGTAAGTCGTGCATGTTCTGTGCAAAAAATAAATTTGAATAACTTATATTTTGCAATAAAGAACTGTTTTCATCCATGCTCCATTTTTGGTTTTAATTTTTTTAAATCGATTTTTTTTTATAGCGGTTTAAAACCAGTCATATTCATGCACTCTACTATGTGCACCTACTCATGCACCACCCATACTCAAGTAAATTCATTCATCTATTTTTCAGCAAAGTAAATTTTAGGTGATATATATGTATTTTTTAAAACAATCTATTAGAGCCATTGTAAAAAATAAATATCTAGTGTCTTTTTTCTTTTTTTTTTCGTTGTTCATGAACATTACAATTAAAGTAGGATTGGTACTTTTCTATACAGTTTCATTGGTGAAAAAAAAATTAAAAGAATGTTTATTCAAATTTCATTATCAAAACACAAGACGCAAGGTTATTTCAAATTATATGAATAAAAGCAATTAAAACAAAAAAATAATTGTTAACTCAAAAAAATATTTTCAACAAATATTTGCATTTTTATAAAACTTACATATGATAAAAATCTCATAAAAGTTTGAAAACTCCTCCTGTCTCTAACTATTTTATTTGTGGATTTTTTTAAATTTTTCTGGTTAAAATGTTGACATTATTATCAAAAACATGCACACACCTGCGCTCTATTACTCCTACTTTCTAAATAGTTCTATGTTTACTCTACGTGTAAGCGTATCACAGGTCTTTTATTACTTTTAAATAACAAACATCAGGTTAGATTTTTAATTCTCGCATATGCCTACATACCAGAATTTCAAACTTGGGTGAATAAACTAAATAGTTATTGCTCTGACAAGTAAGAAAAATATGTATTTTGAAATATTTATGTCTTAACTCTTTTCGTATATTTGGTACAAGATAATCGATAACAAGATTTAACACAGTTTTAAACAATTTTTCTATAAAAATAAAGTACCGCCTAATTATTTTCAAAAATAAAAGCAAAAAGACGCAAATGAATATAATTTTTTTTTTATTGTAATATATATATATATATATATATATATATATATATATATATATATATATATATATATATATATATATATATATATATATATATTGGGAATTACCTTATATATATATATATATATATATATATATATATATATATATATATATATATATATATATATATATATATATATATATATATATATATATATATATATATATATAAGGCAATTCCCAAGGGTGGCGGTCGTAACATTTGACACTTGTTAAGCTTTAAAAAATGAACCAAAAATGGAATTGTCATGAAACTTTCCGGAAATATGAAATACTATATTATAATTTAGTATGCAAAAGTTACCGCATTAAAGTCTTCAGCTTTTTTTGAAAATTAACTCTAAACCATCGTAACGCTTACTTTGTACTACTTCTGAACAAATCAACACTGTCAGACTAAATGCAGCGAACGACATGGTAAAATCATTAGGTGTGTGTGTTTAGCACATATTGATGTTATTATATGCTATCATAGTTTTTATTTGAAGTTTTATAAGCATTTTTATGTTTTTTCTGTCGTGACGGTCGTAAAAAAAATCTAACGCTTAAAAACAACAAATAAAGCGACGTAATCAATTATGTATAAAAAAAGTATAAATGATTATTAACAACCATGTATATTATGTTAAAAAAATGCACTGAAACATTATCAAAGTTCTCAATTACGGTTTTACGATTCAATTTTTAACGCTTTACAATATGACTGTAAATAATTGTCAATACACGTTTATACAACCCTTACATCTTTAAAACCATGCTATGGTATGATAAAATAATTTTTTTTTATAACTTTTTTGCTTAAAAGTATTTTTAAATAGTTTACTATGTGCTTTTATTTTCTTTTTTTTCCTCTTTCTCGTGGAATCGCCCATATATACATACATACATATACTTACAAATATACATATATATCTTAAAAAGTCAATTAAGTACTTTACTTACCGTTAACAAGATGCCACTCAGATAGATAAATATAAACTGTTATTGGAACAGGAATTAAACCTTTACAAAAATCTGATAGTGCTAACGCTAACACGTATATATCGATTGCTTTTTTATGCTTTAGTCTCCAAATAACAATTATGGCTAGTAAGTTTAAAAGTATGATAAACACATTTATGACAAGCAAACTTCCCCCAAGAGCGTTGTTGTGTAAACCAAACGCTAAAGCAGCTCGGCTATTTGACGATTCGTTCATATTTTGCTCTTTACGTTGATGCAAAATAAAACTTGCATTTTAAATTTTAACTTATTTGTTTGTTCTGGAAAATAAAATTTAAAAAATTTAAAGTAGTTAATTTTGTCTTTTTTCAAACTATTCTATTGTTTTACTGTACTACTGTACTTTTTAACTCAACTATATTACTATGTTTTTGCAAAAGCATTATCATCGAAACAAAACCTAAATACGATACGTAAAAAAATATATATATTTAAACAATTTCTACGACATTAAGAAACTTGCCATCTAATAATAGAAAGCTATCTATTTTATATTATTTAAAAGTGACCAAGTAAATCACCAAGCTGTTATTGGCGCGCAAACAATGATTACAACAAAAATTCTTTTCTTAAAGTTGTTTACATTTGAATATAATTAACTAAATGTGTTGAAATAAATATAGCAATTCCATAAGAATAAATATTACAATAACTATAAATGATATACTATCAAATAACAGTTAGACTCGACAATAAAACTGTACTTGTTAAAACATATTTTTCAGTTTTCGACTTATAGGCTTTAGTAAATGTTTTCATTAGAACGTCTTACGAGATAATCAAACAATAAAAAAACTATTTGTAAATAGCAAACAGATGGTTGCAAAATCTTTTCCTTTTTGATGAATGTTACTTATTTTTATTGACGATAGCTTTTGCCAATGAAAAAAAAAGGTTTATTTTAAGATTTCTTCTGTTAATTGTTTATTTTTGTGTTTTTTGTTTTGTTTTCGCTAAATATCCTGTGTTTTCAATTCTTTGGTTTTTAATTTATAACGGCGTTTCTAGCAATTTCAGTTTCAGGTAATCAATAACTCGTCCACATTATTTGCCGCCGAATCTTCACGAAGTACGGACAAGCGTTTTTTTCGGAAATCGTCATAGGTTTCGAGCGTAGACGGAAGACGAAAGCGTCCATTCTCAAATTCGGATGTTGATGCATTTTGCAAGGAAAGCTCTGAGTCATTTATCTTATCCGTTTCTTGTTCATTCTTATCAAGTAGCGTTCTCCTACGCCTATTAACTGTGCTTCTGCGCTTCCATGGATCTATAAAGATTAGTTATAAATTTAGAATTTTAAAAATAAAATTTAACAAAGGTAAAATAGTGAGCAAAATTTTAGAGTTTAAGAGAATGTTATTTTTGAGCGACCCAGGAGACAATTTAATGTAGTTTACCCCAGATATCGCTGTCAGTATTCTTTACACCAATCACTGAAAATAGTAACTTAAAGGTATAAACTATGCCACGCCTATAAGGCTTGCAAATCGAAGCGTACGCAATTGGATTTAAAATGGAATTAACAACAGCAACACGTATTGCAAACAAATCAAGTTTTTCAGGTAATTTCTTTGATCCTATTTGATTGATCAAGACAACGCTCTAAAACAATAAACTTTTTAAAACAATTAAGAAAAACAAACTTTAAAACATATTTAAACGTTTAATTCTAAAATTTAAACATCGTTTAATTTTAAAATATGTAAAATAGTATTTATCATTTTATGGAATTAAATCAATAAATTTTAACAACTTAATGGAATTAAATCCTGAAATCATTGCTCATTAAAAATAAATAAGCCTCATTTTCGTTTAAAATTTTTTTTAAATTTTTAAACATTTTTCATTAAATTAATTGATTTTAGATTTTTGTTGAAATTTATACATTAGACTAATTAGGTTATATATATTTGTATTAATAATTAGGTTGAATATATTTGTATTAATAATTAGGTTGAATATATTTGTATTAACAATTAGGTTGAATATATTTGTATTAATAATTAGGTTGAATATATTTGTATTAATAATTAGGTTGAATATATTTGAAACCAGTTTAATTAGTTGAAGAGTTAAATAGGAGTTTTAATAATCAGTCAGGGCAACAATAAAACTTGTCTTGTTAAATCAGCAACGTCTGAGTAAGTTAAGTTAAAATGAGTAAAAATTTAATCACGTTATTTTACCTACCAGAAATGGCAGCCAACTAAACCAAAAAAGTATCATGAGTATAACTGTGAGATATGAGAACATTTTTTCTGTTTTTAAGTTGATCGTTTCTCCTTGCTTACTGTAGTTATGTGACATTTTCCGATGTCTGCGAATTAAGTTCTGAATTTTGTAAAACACAAATGCGTAACTAATGAACACAATCAAAATCATCCCTAAACCGTAAACTATAATAAATAAAGAATATATTGTAGCGCCTCGAGTATCTTTTGAGTAATCAAAGTGGCAATAAGCGCCTTTGTAAAACGGTAGCATTTTACCAACACCAACCAGTGGTAAAGCAGATTGAATACAAGTGAAAAGTATACTGAGACTCACTGCAATTTTAACTCGATTAATTGTAACCCATTTTTTATGTGCGAATGGTTTAACAACTGCAATAAATCTTTCAAGAGCCATTAAAGTTAGAATAAGCATTGATCCAGAATTTATAGCGAACGCAATATAACCATAAAAGTCACACATGAAACCTAAAAGATATTTTTATAAAATAATGTATTATACAAGAAGTTTTATTTGTTTAAATTTATAATCAAAAAATTAAGTTATAAGATATATATAAAATATGTTAACACGTAAGTTAAATTTAAAAGCAAGAACAAATTGTCGTTAGATTAAAGTTAAAAATTACCATTTTTCTTTTTTCATTTTTACTAATAGGTAAATGCAGATTTTTTTTTCAAATATAATTTTAATGCTTGTTTGTTTAAGTACAATGTCAATATGATTTTAATGCTTGTTTATTTGCTATAATTTGCTTAATGATTAGTTGTTTTGCTCATACCCAATGGGCACTGGAATAAAAAAACGTCTATTGAACGTTCAAAAGACGTCCAAAACATTCGAAAGACGTTCAAAACGTGTATAGGACGTTTAAAAGACGTCTTTTTTACGTCCGTGTCCACTGGGTACTTAATGTATTTTTTATTTAATTTTATTTCTAAGTTTAATTCCTAGAATATAGTAAGAAATTATAACTTTAAAGTTATAAGTATTTTAAGTAACCTGACTTTAGGAGGGATTCATATTTTATCAGTTTTTTTAGATCAAAGTTCCATCATAAATTAAAAATTTACGATTTGTGTAAAAATAAATTCAAGCAAAAATTATTTTTAGTTTTAATGACCTTAAGAACCTGACCGGCCCAAGTAATACTTGGGCCCAAATCACCGAAAATCTGGGTTTGAATTTAAGATATTTAAATTATTTTAAATTTTAAGGTTTTTCAGACATCTTAAAATTTATTCTAAAGCTTTTTTTTATATTGACCTGAACATTAATTGCAGAAAAAAAATGTTTCAAAAATAAAGGCATATGTTTTACAGAATTTTCATAATGCTCACAAAACATTATTTCTTTGTGTCATACGATTTATCTTTAGGATTTTCTCATAAATTTCAACTATAGTTGAAATTTATTTTGAAGAGTATTGCGTCTATAGACGCAATACTCTTATAATAGTGTCAGATAAAAGATTGTTTTTATCCTTCAATTAAGTCGCCCGTAAGACTAACTTTAATAGCTTATTTACTTTTTTTACAATTTGTTACAAGGGAAAGGAGTTCTTAATTTTGGAACAACTTTTTTATTTATACAGTTTTAAATGATTCTATATAAGTGAAAAAGGTTTTTAATTTTAAAAACTTTTTGCACTAACCAATTTTAAAGCTTTCTAGTCTTTTTTTCGCCCCTAAAAGTTTGAAAAATTTCAATTTTAAATTTACAAAGTATAAATTATCTAATAAATGATGTAAAACATTAAAAGTATAATGCAAAAAAAAGTAAACTACTGGCACGATTGGGTAATAAATTGCAATCCGTAACCAGCAAAGAACAAAATTTTAAGTGATTTTTCGCTATGATGTCTCGACTTTCGTTTAATTATTTAAACGTTTCATACAACGTACAATACAACGTACAACGTACAACCAACAATAGATTTTCGAGTATTGCAACTTTTTCAAGTAATAATGTTTACAATTCAAATCACGTTTACAAATAATTAGTTGTTGAGTTGTTGTATAAATTTTCATATTGAAAGCTTTATAAATCAAATAAAGATTAGTTTTTTTTTTTATTTTTTTCTTATTGATAAGTCTAGATAAAATGGATCAAGGCATTTTTACAAAGAGTTATATGAAAGATACGTCAAAGCGTATGGTCATTATCAGTGGCGATTTTACGAATAAAATGAGGGAAGGTGAATCCTTAAAATTTTTTAAGGACCGACTTCTTAAAAAAAAGAAAAAAAAAGGTCCTCAAAACTAAAACTTACCTGACTGAATTGTGTCAAATACCCGACTTACCTACTAAATTTGTAAAAAAAAACAACTTAAACATGAAAATTTTTTTTTCACTTTTTTTAGGGGGGTGGAATAACCCTCATCCCACATCCACACATTTCCACCCCCCACTCCCGCCCCGTAAAAGCGCCTCTGGCTGTAAAAAAGCCTCTGGTCATTCTAAGTCAAAGCCAAACTGCAAAAAAGAAAAAAATATCAAATGGAATGTGATAAAAAATGATGAAAAAATGAAAAAGTGAAAGAGTTGCTAAACATATATTTAACTAAAGCAACAAACAAGGTGAGTTATTTAACTTCTTCTGCTATCATAAAATATCTCTAAATATATATCTCTAATATCTTCTTCTGCTATAATAAAATATCTCTCCTTGCAAAAAAAAAAAAAAAAAATCAGATTTAGATCTTTTAAGTTCTCTAAATTAAGCCCCAAGCCCCATGTAGAACTTGATAGAATTGATTTTGTAGCAGAAGCACGCAGAAGTTGTAAAAAAATAGTTCTCAAAACTAAAATTTACCCGACTGAATTTTGTCAAATACTTGACCGACAATAAATAGCCAACTATGTCCCTCAAAAAACCGACTATAATTTGAAAATCACTTTCTTTGGGGAGGTGCCACACTTTTCCCACCAATCAAAGGATATCATCCAAATTTGTTAGGAGCACGGCCTTCTATAATAAAAGGCCTTGTCATCGCGCAAAAACGCCGTAAACACTGAAGACCGATTAAATTTTTACTACTTTTATTGCTATGCTTTTATATTACGTAATGGTGTATTGGTAGTTTATTCATATTAGGTAGGGTGTAATGGTAGTTTATGTTTTCTTATAAAAAAATCTTTTATAAAGACGGAAATATAAAAGAAAAACCCAAAAATTTTTAAAAGATAATTATATTTTTTTTACTTCAACTTCCATTATAAATATTAATGTAATATTAAGCAATACAAATAACAAGCAGAGCCATAACAATGTAGGGGAAAGTGGCGCAACATGGTGAATGTTTTGAAAGGCCTGAGTTATTGCAAAACTATCAGTCGTGAAGCAATAATACTTTCTCAGTATGTTTATGTTATTAGAATGATTCATTGCCTGCATAAATTTTCACTTTGCAAATCTAACAATTTGAAATAAATATTAAAATAAAAAGTTCATAAATTTGCCATCTCGTCACGTGACCGGGGCAAGATGACTTATTATGCAATTTTTACCTCCAATTTTATAAAATTTTAAAACTACCTATAAATTTAACTAAAGTAACAAAAAATATATACAAATTGCAAAAAAACTACTTCTAAAGAAGTTAAACTTGAAGGACACCATCCATTATGAGAAATCGAAAGTGAGGAATTTTTTTTTAAGCGCAAAAAGTAAACTTATGCGTATAAAATTGCGTTAATAATATTTCAAAAAACCAATTGGTGTTTTAAAATATAAGACGCAAATACAGTTTTGTTTTCTCCAAATTTTAAGATTTTTTGTTGAGTTGTTATACGAAAACCCATCTTGCCCCATTCGCCATGTTGCCCCGCTTTCCCCTATATAGCTATATATTAGAAAGATTACTGAATTTTTTTTTTCGTTAACAGAAACATAACTAAAAAAAAAGATAAAAATGAAAATCGACTACAATAACAAATTTAAACAAAAATCGATTCATGCAAAAAAAAAGTTTTATCAATACATCTCAACAACGTAAATATTTACAAATCCAAATATATTGAGAGACATAAAGGCTACAGCGGAAATAAAAAACATAACAAGAAAATAGCATAATAAATTACAAAACTAATTTTCACATAAATTATGATAGATTTAGTATTTTTACATTAGATTCTTTGCTACTACTCGGAGTGGTAGTTAGTGCGTGATTCAAAATATTAAAATATATTCTGAATAGTTTTTTTTTGGATTTTTATTTAGCTGCTATGAACTGAAACTGAGTAACTCAAAATGTTCTGCATAAAGGGCCAATAGCACCTTGAATAATAAAAAAAGCAAAATATTGACTATTATTGGAATTTCAAGTCCGCCTCTGTTTAGGCTATTCAGATAACTTCCATATTTATAATAATAATTGGTAGTGTCATAATAAATTTTTATTTCGCTTTTTTGCACATAGCCAGCAATCTAAACTATAGCTACTAATGTAAATTTATTTATTGAGCTTTTAAGTTCATGTATATTATCCAGCAGTTCTTCTTCATCAGTAGAAAAATCTCTACAACGTATGTCGCATGTATGAACATCAAAACCATTTACAGGAATGTCAAGTTCTAATATCAATTTAGTCTATAAAATATGATTTTTTCAATTACAGATTTAGCATTTATAAAGTAAATACCTCCAGATCCCTGTCAAAACTTAGAAAAAGCTTTTTTAAGTAAATGTGTTGAAAACCAACTTAAAAAGGCATACTTTGCTCCATTACTCAACAAATTTTCTACGAGATTAATTAAGCCATGACATGTATGGGCTATTTAAATGCTGGTATCTAGCGTAAGCTGTTTTACACGCTTACCTGTAGGTTTCATAAAATTTGACAATTCAGCAATATCTTGTAGCAGTTGTAACTGATGATCACCAACTGAGTGGATTTCTCCACATAATTCAGTTCTACACCGACGGCCAGCACCAGGTGCTTTGACATTAACAACATTCCAACAAAAGAAATAATTTTTTAATAAATACAGCTGCACTTCAATCTTGCTTTATTTTCAATCTCTGAATAAAAACAGACAAACAAAACTTTACAGTTTGTCTCTTTATTGGTTTCGGATAAATCGATTTAGCTGTAAGTTTAGAGAGTTTAAAAAGACTGTTGCACTCAGTTTTATGTAAAGTTTCCAAATCACTCCCCCTAGCCAAAAACAGTTCTCTATTGTACAAAAATGAAGCTCGCTTTTTCTTTTCTGTCTACAAATTGTTTCGTATATATTTTAGGAGATGCACATAATCATATAATTTACACGGTTACCATCAGTAATTACTGCCAGTGACTTGGCAATAATTACTGATGGTAACCGTATACTTGGCAACTTGTAATCAATACACAAACGATCATATAAACTTCGTCGCATAGCAAAATACTTATTTAATACCAACATATAATATCTGGAGTATAGAAAACTTCACCTACATTAACTTTTCTCATAGCATTAAGGTGCTCGAATATAATATTTGAATGATGTGAACTTTCTTTACTCTTTAAAAATCTAACTGCTTCAAACAGGGGCGGGTTTTGTCACTCGCCAAGGAGGGGGATAAAAGGTCTTTAAAAAAAAGGTCCGCATATTTTCATTTTTAAGTAGTTTTTTTTTTTTAATTTTTTTTAATTTAGTGTAATAATCAAGTTCATATACTTATAATTACGTATAATAGTCATTCGTCAGTATAATAGTCGATTTTAAGAAAAAAATCTGAAAATAAATCCCAAGGTGGGGGAGAAGGCTTTATAACGTTGAACTTTGTTTATTAATATTATTTAAGTTCCGATGTATTTTAATTATGATTATTATTTGACTGTTGTTAAAGACTTGCGGTTCTTGTTAATCAAACTTAAACTATTTTGTGAAAAAATTCTTTAAATTCTCAGCATAAGTAAAATAACTTTAGTTAGTCTTCGGAAAGTCTTCAAAATGCTTTGAAATTTTTATTTAAAAAAAATCTCTAACAAAAATTAACAAAAAATTTTGTCAATACAAGTGCATTTATTTTCTTTATTCTTTATTGTTTTATTTGTTTTTGTTTTTTGATTAAATATATTTTTTCAGATACTTATATTGGGTTTTTTTTTAATGCTTTTTTGAAATTTTAAACCGGAAACATTTTTAATGTAAAAAATTCAAATCTTAAAATTTCTTACTATAAACTTAAGTAAATATAAACACAATAAAAAAGATTAAAAAACAAAAATTATTTAAAAAATCATAAAGGTAAAAAAATACCGAAAAGTAATTACCCTCAACGAAATGCCATTTATCTGTAAGATAAACGTAGACGCTTAGAGGAACAGGTATAATTCCTTTAGAAAGATCACACATAGCTAACGATAACACAAATATATCTACTGCATTTTTATGTCTAAACCTCGATATTGCAAATATTACCATGACGTTAAAAAATACAATAAGGACATTAATTACAAGTAAGCTTCCACCAAGAATGTTGTTCCGGATCCCATTTACTTCAGTTTTGTTTAATGAATTATTCATTTCAGTTACAACCTACCTTTAAAAAATAAACTCAATATATATAAATATACACGTTTATAAATAAATGAAGATAAATAATGGAATAAAAGGTTGTTTGTTTAATAAAACCAATTATAGTTATAAAAATATATATATATATTTTAAATAAAATTAATTAATACAATATTTGTTTTGACAAATGTGGACTAGAATTGTTTGATTGAATAAGATCATTGTGTAAACTTTATTTATATAATTATTGGGGGAAAAAGCTATTATAGTGAGAAGTTGAGAAAAAAAAGCATAAAAAATAACCTTTTTTTTTTTTATCTAGTATGGTATTTCACCCCCAAATCTCCAAATCAACGGGCGATAAGAGAAATAAAGAAGCAACAATGATTAAAGAAGTTACGATCATAAATTGTTTTAAAATCAGTTATAACTTTTATCAATCCGTTGGTTATTTATGAATTTATTAATAGTTTATGCAGTTTTTAAAGAGTAATATGTAGTTAGCTTGTATGCATGCTTACATTTTTTTTCCGCATAATTTAACCTTTTTTTTTTTTACAATGTTGTACTAATTCTTATAAAAAAAGTACCAAATGGTACACCAAATGCGTATAAAAAACTACCGAATAGTACACCAAATGCGTATAAAAAACTACCGCATAATACACCAAATGCATATAAAAATACTTAAGCTGAAATATTGATTTTTATTTTACTCTTAAAAAAAACTTTAAAAAAAAAAAAAAAAACAATAGTAATTTGATCAGACGGTTTAAAAGTTACAGCTAATCAAAACAGAATATATTTATAACGTCAATAAGTTTATAATTATTTTTTGTTGTTGTTGTAATTTATTAAACTTAAAAAAAAAGTGCAATAAGTCATTAGTCTCTATTGAAATTAAATAAAAAGTGTATATTTATATTCATAAATTAAATAGTAATGTAATAATTAAACTTTCGTAGGGTTAATATTTTGAAAGCCCTATCAATAAAGTGCTAATCCAAAGTTTAAATTAGAAAGCAAATAAATCATACACATCCATTTGCATTTGTTTTTGTGTGTTTAAAGAAGATATCACTTTAAAAGATTATAACTGATCATGATTAACAGTGATCACTGTAAATTACCATAAAAAACGAGGATACTATAGATTGTCTTTGTCAAAATAGCGATTTTTTTTTTGTGCAAGAAACCAAATATGGTAATATGAAAAAAATAAAAAATACTGGTTTGAATGAATGTTGCAAAAACGGATGTTAAAGCTTATAACGCTTTATGTTTCGAATTTATAAAATTTCATTATGTTTATATAACTTTTTTAAAAATCTCGGTGTAAACATTTTCCGTTATTAAACATCTCTATTTAGCGGAAATTTTAACACGCTTAATTTATAGACAATCTAAAAAGTTGTTAGTTGAAAATGTTTTCAAAAAGTTGTTTGTTTAAAATGTTTAAAATATTTATAAAACTGTAAAACTAAAATCTGTCACGTTTCATAAATAATTTTTTAATGTTAACTTATCAATTAGAAATTTTTATTTATCGTTATTATAAAATTTATAACATATAAAATATTTCTTCTTATTTTACTTAGTAACTTGTTTTTGTAATTTTAAAACTTTTTTTTTATATATTTTTTATATATAATTTTTATATAAAAATTTTATTCGATTTTTATATAATAATTTTACTCGATTAATTAAATAATTATTATGTCCACACCATTGACAGGAAAACAAAAATAAACGACATAATAAGAACACGAAAATTTGACACATATTTGAAACCTAATTTGCAATGATTTATAAATAGTCACCAGGACATATATAACAGTTTTGTTTTTATTATAAACAAAAAAACATAATTTTATAATTATGTTTTTTTGTTTGGATAAACATCATTTACTTGCAGAGCACCAAGAACACATAAGATAATAAAACAAACACTTAACATACTTATTTTTATTTACTTATTTTTTTTATTATTATTTTTGAAAGACATTTTTAAACTACTAATAATCTCAAGGACATTTATGACATCGTGTTAGATGGCATAAACATGTAACGTGCCACAACAAGGACAACACTAAGAACAAAAAACATAAAAGTTATCATACACCACTTGTTACATACCAATTTTTTATAGTTGATTAATAATCTACGGTAACTATAGTAACTATAGTACATTTGAAAACTTAGATTCAAAGTTTTATTCTGAAACCATAATAAATTTCTTAACAAGACTTCCGTCAATTCATCTCGTTCCATCAACTTCTGACTCATCTTGTTTCAGAATTCGTTTTTATTCTTGTAACATGTTATTCCTCCATTAGATAAGTGCAGACTTCTTTTTTTGTCAGAATGTTTTTGCAAATATTGAAGCTTCGGCAAAGGATTTACTAAAAATATTTTATTCAGAATTTATTTACATTGTTTCTGCCAACAGCTGTTTCCTTTTAATTTCAATATCAATCGCTAGTACTTTTGTTAAGTTGCAGGCAGAGTTGTTAGTCCTTGCCCTGGCCTTAAGGCTAAAAATTAAGACATTGGTCTTGAAACTGTTGGCCTTGGCCTTTCTCTTGGCCTTGAAAAGTTTTGAACTGGCCTTTATTGTTTTAGCCTTGGTCTTTCGCCTTTTCTTTAAGAATTCATAGATTTTTTCTTTCGTGTTTGCATTTTAAAAATTTTACTACAGTTGATTTTGTTTACAAGAGTTATTTTTGTTTACTTGAAAGCTTTAGAACTTAATTTTGCGTTTTATGTCACAGTCTAAATTGCCATTTTTTGACTAACCATTTTAAAGCAATAATCAATGGCATGATTGGTTAATGGGAAGTCAGATGATTTAGGGGAAAGGCGCCTATGATGGCATAGCGCCTATGATGGCATACCGGTCATATTTTTATAAATACTGAGTATGGCGAAAAAGTGATTAGACCAACATGTCTATTTTGACTTTACATTAGTTTTAGTAAAAATACGTCCCTTATGCACAAATATTGCTTGTATAATCAAAAAAATTCGATTTCGGGATGCGCTGTTGTATTTTTAATCCCTTTAAATATTTAATATTCTGATTTTAATATTTACTGTACAGAAATAAAATTTTCATGCATTTTATTTCCAAGTTTTATGCATTTAGTGGAATACTTACTTTAATTTTATCTTTTGAACAAGGAAGACATAGCTTGTTTAAATGAAATTGATGACTTCTTCCTATGATGGCATACTGACGAGTTAGGTGTGTTGCAATATCGAGGAGTGAAAAAACCTTTTTTTTTTCATAAAAATAACATACTTGTTATTGAAGTAATAAGGAATTTTTACTTCACTAAAAGATTTATGGTTCAAAAAACACATAAAACGCAATATCTCTTATGCGCATGCGCGAAATTTGACACTGCTGCTGTGTAGCACGAATGGGTTATTTAGGATAATTACCCGTAGTTTCTGGCATTTTTGAAGGAAGACTTTTAGATTAAATGAAATGGTAAAGTTACCCTTGATGCTAAACAACCCCATCCTCCCCTATGCTATCATAGGAGCAGTAGTTGCCTTAGATGGCATGCTTGTGCTTTTTTTTTTTAAATAAATAAATTTTTTTTTAAACTTATAAAAAAATAAATCTGATGAAAACTCCTAAGGTTATTTGTGTTCTACATGTAGCAAAGATGAAAACTCCTAAGGTTATTTGTGTTCTACATGTAGCAAAGATGAAAACTCCTAAGGTTATTTGTGTTCTACATGTAGCAAAGATGAAAACTCCTAAGGTTATTTGTGTTCTACATGTAGCAAAGATGAAAACTCCTAAGGTTATTTGTGTTCTACATGTAGCAAAGAATCCATATCAAAACTTTTGTTCTTTGTCTTCAGGATACTGAATAATTAAGCTTTAAAGTTAAATATGCCATCATAGGCGCCTTTCTCTTATCTTGAGGTTTTTTATTTGTTAAAATATTTCAAAGTTTAAAAATGATTTGAACACAGAATTTTTTCCTTTAATTAATTATAAACTATTAATTAAACTATCCTTAATTAATTAAAAACTATAATTAATTTTACAGGTTTTTTGAATTAAAATAGTTTTTAATATATTTAAATTATAGTTTATTATGAAGTTTTTTCTATTCATTTATTTTTTATGCTTTTATTCAACTTATCTTATTCCGTCTAAAAAAGTTGATAGTAATGTATATTTAATAAAATTTTTTTAAATAATTTTATTTATAAAATTCATTTTTTAACCAATAAACAATAGTTTAATTAGATAGTTCGGTTTTTTGTAACAATGACTGTACACAACTAAACAATATTCAAAAATTATAAATCTATGTTTAGATTTATATATTATTTATCTATGTTTAGTCTGTATTAATGCACCGTCAGCTCCTGTCGAGCGTATCTTTTATCAGAGTGGATTGATAATATGCCTTCATAGAGCTCGTATGTTTGATTCGTTGCTTGAAACTTTGATGTTTCTTAAATGTAATAAAGACTTATAGGCTATATAGTGATAGCTAATGGTTATGACTTATAGGCTATATAGTGATAGCTAATGGTTATGACTTATAGGCTATATAGTTATAGCTAATAGTTATGACTTATAGGCTATATAGTGATAGCTAATGGTTATGACTTATAGGCTATATAGTGATAGCTAATGGTTATGACTTAAAGTTAATGCTAACAACTAGTCTTTAATTAAAAGATGTTAAGCAAAAAAATACATAAAATTAAAGTTTTAATTCATTATTTTTATA